ATACTGATCTTAAATATCTTTAATGTAGAAAATGTGCATTTCTGTGTATTTCCTGTGTTTTATTCAGCATCTTCCTGAATTACAAAATTTTGCAAATCCAACTTTCAGTTACAATTATTGACCTGTGGGACACCATTTCGCACAACCAGACCACACTTTGGGAGACCTCAATATTTTAGTTCTTAAAGGAAATTTCAAATCCGTTCAGGAAAGAAAAACTTTTGAACTAAGAATGATAACTCTATTTGACACAAGAGATAACAGCCTGAATTTGGACATGGAATTCCTCAATCATTATCCAACAGTTTTGTGACTATCACCTCAACCTCAATCGTGACTGCCTCTGTGAGTGTTGTCTCCCCCCCCCCCCCCAGACTTTGCTTTTGCTGTGTCTTTTTTCTCTGTTCTTTTTTTTTTCCCATCCCCTACATCTCTTCCAACATTCTGCTAAGTCTTTGTTTCAGTACTGCTTAGACCTGAAGAAGGGAACATTCCCCGGAAGCTTGTCCTCAAAATTACATGTTAGTGCAAATAATAAAAAAAGTATCACGGACAGTACTCAATTGTTTCTGTCGCAAATGCACTAATACGGCTACAATCACATCAAGCAATTATCGACACTAGAAGCTTTTTTATTCTCTCTCAAAGTGTATTTTTTCAAGTAGAATACATCTATTTTTCTATACATGGCATTGAAGTATGCTTGATATTCTGTTAAGGAACATATTTTACAATAAAAATAAACTGAATCAAAGTGTACATATATTTATAAATATATCAATATATGAGAAAAATTATTATTTACACATGTAAGTAAATTTTGGTAAAACCTCAGTAAACCTTGCCTTTTACTCAACGTAAGGCTTTACTGATATAATGCTGAAAAATACACATGATGGACAGAAACCAGCAGCCTTGTATGTTAAGTATGCTGGTTTACATTTTGATATGTGGATAAGCTTTAACCATCCTGATGGAACTATATTATGTACTAAAACCATTGTTGAGTCCAGAAGTAATCCTAGATGCCCCAGTATATATAATGTCTACCAGGGTCATCACCTCATGAAACCAAGTCTGAGGGATACCACAGAAAAATCTTAACATAAGTTAATTGTAAGTTAATTGAGTTTAACTTGATCAAAGGCTGTGGTGAAACACCTTCTAGACACTAAACTGTCATATATGCTGTCAAACTATATGTATAAACTACAAATCATGCTTTGACTAATTACAAAAAGCAAGCAGCAATGCAGGGCCGGGACAAGGGGTAGGCAGGAGGGCTGGCTGCTCTGGCACTGTGGTAACATGTGGCATGGGGGGGGGGCATGAGGAGATTTGGGGGAGGGGATTTGTGTTGGGAGGGGAAATTTGGGGGGTTTGGCAGGGGGTACGAATTTTTCTAGGAGGGGAAATTTTCGGGTCGTGCTAGAAGTGGGAATTTAGAGGCATTTGTGTTGGAAACAGAGGGGGGGGGGAAGAGGATTTGTTCTGGGGAAGGGGGTTTGGGGAGGTTTGTGCTAGAATAGGTGACAGATAGTGCAGGATGGGATATTTTTGTTTGGGAGCAGGGATTTGTGCTAGTAGGGATGATTGGTGGGTGATGGTACTAGGAGGGGAAATTTGAGGGGTAGAGGATTTGTGCTAGAAGGGGTGATTTATTAGGGTGGGGGCAAGGCATTTGTGGTGATAGGGGGGGCAAAGACTTGTGCTGGGAGGGGGATTTCTGCAGAGGAGCTGATTTGTGCTAGAAGGAGTTGGAATTTATGCTTAAGGAGTAAGCATACAGATTAATGCTCTATTTTAATTTTATTTTTTTTGGGGGGGGGGGCAGATTTTTGCAGACACATAATGCTCATACATCTTGAGGAGGGGGTGCAGTTTGGCATGTTTTCCCGGGGCTCTACATGACCTCGTCCCAGACCTGCAACTATGTACCTATAAGATTAGTCCACCTTTACCAAAAAACTAAAGTTGAATAATACCCTCACTATAGGAGTAGGCTATTTATGTACCTACTGAATCCTGACTGGAATACTCCTAGGACATTGCTAGGAGGTTGGTAAGAGAGGTTTAGTTGTCCCTGCTCACCCCCACCATCACAGGAGTGAGCTATTAAATGCTATGCCCAGAACTACTGCATCAGGGGAAAGGAAGAGCATGTGAGGAGGTCTGAATCAGAGAAAGTCCTCACTCCTGTGATGGTGAAGGTGAGCAAAAAGAGCTAAGCCTCTCTTAGCAACATCCTAGAAGTATTCCAGTCAGTCTCCATGACATATGTAAAAGAAGAAGGATGCTAACAGCACTTCAGCACTCAGAAAAAGTAGAGACACCCATCGTATGAACCGAAGATCACATAATATTTTCGCAACCAAAAGATCACATAATATTTTCACAACCAAAACTGGAAAGAAATGGCGATGCAGCCCTCCTCAGATTGGGGAAATCCAACACTGTACAAAACACAGAGAAGGGGCAAACGTAGCACATTATCGTTGACATTTCATTAAACAGATTAGGGACAAATATTATACTCACAAGACACGTATTGGGAACCTAATCCCCTCAGAGCTATGGCTAAACTAGATTAGCCATAGCTCTGAGGAAGGGGATTAGGTCCCCGAAACGTGTCAACTGGCATTGTCAATCTGTCTCCAGTTGGAGGTGGAGAGCGAACTCCTACATTGTGTGCTTCATGTATTTACATGCCTTTAGCTCACTTGTCTTGTGAGTATAATATTTCTCTCCTAATCCGTTCAATAAAGTGTCAAAGACAATGCGCCAGATGTTTGCGTCCTCTCTGTTCGTGTTTTGTTCATGAGGTAGGTAATTGGCCTAAACCTATACCAAGAGCAATATTTAGCTTTATTCAGAACTGCAGTTTGTTTTTATCTAGAGAAACCCCTTACCTGCATAGGCAGTTGTTTGGCCAAGGTGAACCTTTAAAAACATGAATGCTGTCTGACTTTTCAGTTTCTATTATTATGAATGAAATCTGATGTTTCCTGTCTTCTTAAAAGAGCTTGATGGCCCCTATATTGTACCAACTGGCTTCTTATTTATTTTAGTTTGCTAACCTCTGCAATAAATAACTTAAAGTGTTACTAAACCCACAACAGTAAAATCAGTCTGTATATTTAGTAAAGCATGCTTGTTATACTCATTGTGGAACCTAAGGGGTTAATCCTCTGCATTGTGTAAAAAAGCTGTTTGATCCTTTCTTCTCTGTTCCTCCCCTTTTTCAAGGGACCACCACTTATCTCCAGACTGAACCGTAGGCATGCACATGCTCAGTTTGCTGTATATTGCTAGAGAGGTTTTTTTTTTTTCTTGGGAGAGTGCATGTGATCAGCACAGGGCCAATCAGCATTGTCCAGACAGAGGTCAGGGGATTTCCATCCTCCTAGAGCAGAAAGAAAACTCCTCCTACAAGCTTTAGCTAGTGCTGTGCTGGACACAGATAGAAGCCACAAGACTGCTCTAACTGCTGATGAGAAAAGGTATTTAGTAGTTTATATTTACTACTAAACTAATTGCATTTCCATGTTCTGTGTACTGTGGGAGACCAGATATACTGTAGTGGATGCAGGGGCCTGGGTTTAGTAACACTTTAAGATAACTGACTTTTGAAGATGGCTATTTCATTGCTGACATAAGAGAATGGTTAAAGTAATTAATTCCATTGCCATCACTTTGTGATTCAAACCATTGCCATACTTTGTCATTGCTTCAGTAAAGCAAGATTGAAACTGGTACCTCCAGTATTTTCATTGCCTACATTCAGGGCTTAGGGTTACTCCCTAACTTTAAATATCCAACAGTCACAAATCAAAAAAAGGTCAGACGATGCTTACTGTACTACTTTACAGTTCATGGGCATTGATAACATGATATTTAGTTCCCTACAGCTGCTACCCTGCACTCCCAGTCTGTATTCGATACGTTAGTCTGTTGTCATTAACTGATAGGTGCTCCAGTTGTGACAAGTTTGTAGTAAGCTCCTTTCTTCTCCATGAGTTCTTCATGTGCGCCCTTCTCAATCACAATGCCCTGAGACATGACAGCAATGATGTTAGAGTTTTGAATGGTAGACAACCGATGAGCAATGACGATGCAAGTGCGACCTTCTCTTGCTCGGTCCAGGGCAGCTTGTACTGTCTGAAAACCAAGAAAACACAATAAATATCACACAAAGCCAACTTTTTCTTAGATCAAAAGACAACAACTTCCCGTTGTGGGTTATGATTAAGCGCTGAGGTTAGCATGATATGCATGAACCTTTTCTTCCCCCATTGGAAAATAGTATGGTGTTTTTAAGCTGCTTTTCTATACAACAAACTGGATATGTGCTTTATTGGGGCCTTAGACTTTCTTTTGATCTACAGCACAGGTGTGCGAACTGGAACAGCACACACGCTGAAGGATTGTGGAGTGTGGAAGTACATAACATACCTGTGCAATGTGTTTTTTCATGGCCCCCTTTAGTCTCCATCAAGAATGGAACAGAGAAGCACTGTAGGAGCATTAGTTGTTGTATATATATGGGAAATATCTGGGGATTCAATTCTGAAGGATGGATGATTCTCCTAACCTCACACTTCCTCCAAAATGTCTGTTTCTCTGGAGAAGAGGAAATTACATCACTTCCATGAGGAGATACCCATAGGGTATGGTGATGGGCACATCAGTGTAATTGTCATGGTGAAGAATATGAACCCTGTGTAAAGAATTTCAATGTGGATTGATTTGCTCACAGGAAGATTGGATGTGTATGGGACTGAATATTTTGACGATTTGTCACTTTATAGTGGGCTTATTTAGATATTTACAGACAAAGACATTTTATATGTGTTTGTGAATTTGCACATATTGAATTTTGAGATATATACTGTATATATATATGTTATTTATATATTTTTTTTTATTTTATTGTGGCACCCAGAGACATAGAAATTGTGGGGAGTGCTACACTTTTTTTTTAATTTGTTGATCATTTGATTTTAATCTCTCACCTTTTCACTTTCTGTGTCTAATGCAGATGTTGCCTCATCAAGTAGAAGAATTTTAGGGTCCCTGATGATTGCCCGGGCAATCGCAATACGCTGTTTCTGTCCCCGAGAAAGCTGAGACCCATGAGCTCCAACATTGGTGTCATATTTCTGTAACAGGAAATCATATAACAATCAAATTTATCTAATATTCAATGGCAGCAACATAATTGTAATGCATAAACAATACAAAGTGAATTTAGCTGTATTGCACCAAAAATGTTCTACTTCATATTTTATGATTAATAAGCCTTTAAACGCTGAAAATATTATTTAAAGAAAAACACTCATGTACATCGCAACTTCAGTCCCCCAAATTTTTTTCTTTCTTATATATAGAATTTCTATTTAGAAATTATGACTAGAATAGGTTTCAACCTTTGTCAGGTTTCGAAAGTTGTTTTTATTCCAATGGAGGCATTTCCTCCTACTTCTTGTACCCGTCCCAGGATAATACATGGACTGGTTTTAATAGAAAGTCTCCCCAACACAGTAAAAAAAATCTTTGTAGTAAAATATGAAAGGGTTAAAATTTCTTGAACAGCAATAAAAACTTGATAGATATTATGCCCTCCCCAACATAAAAACAAAAAAAAAAGTTTTCATTGGCTGTGGGCTTTAAGCACTTGCCCTCTACCTTATAGCAGAAATACTGCTACAGGGTGGCAGGGCTGCGCAAAATCACGTATATATGTGATTTGCCTTTCTGGCCACCCAAACTGCTATTGGCTGCTAGAGATATCAATCACCGGGTCCGTCCAGCACTCGGTGATCATCAAATAAAAGCTGACAGGGGAGAAACCTGTGTGTAAACAACACAGGTCTCGCTGCAGTCAGCATGGACATGCTTTTTTGTATCTCTCTGCACAACAGAGAAATACAAAGCAGCATGCCTCCCTTGTAAAACACAGCACACAGTAAAACACACACAGCACATAATTAACCCTTCGATCGCCCCACATGTTAACCCCTTCCTGCCCAGTGTCATTAGTAGTGTCAGTGCTTTTTGTTAGCACTGATCACTGTATTAGTGTCACTGGGGATATCAGTGGCAGCTAGTCAGTTCCCCCCAGTGTCAGAATGCCCACCGCAGTCCCACAGCCCCGCTAAAAGTCACTGATCGCCACCATTACTAGTATAAGAAAAATCACAATAGAAATTCTAGTATATATACTACCATTTGTAGACGCTATAATTTGCACCTAAACCAATGAATTTGCATGTATTGGGATTTTTTGTTTGCAAAGACATGTAGTAGAATTAATTTTGTCCTAAACATATTAAGAAATTTGATTTAATTTTTTTTTGGATATGTTTTACAGCAAAAAGTAAAAAATACAGTTTTTTTTTTCAAAATTGTTGGTCTTTGATCACCTCTGCGGTTTTTATTTTTTGCGCTATAAACTTTTTTGTTTATAGCGCAAAAAAATAAAAACCGCAGAGGTGATCAAATACCACCAAAAGAAAGCTCTATTTGTGGGAAAAAAAAGGACATAAATTTCATTTATATACAGCTTTATGACCGTGCAGTTGTCAGTTATAGTAACGCAGCGCCGTATTGCAAAAAATGGCTTGGTCGGGAAGGGGGGTAAATCTTCCAGAGGGCAAGTGTTTAAAGCCTAATGCCCACCCAACAGTCGAACCAATTAGGGCAGATATACAGTAAGTAGACAGTCTGTCTATAACTTAGTTCCAACCTCTCTATTTTTTTAAAGTGCAGGGGGAAAGTAACACAAACGTAGGCAAAACATACTATGAAGATAGGGAGTCTAGTACAGTGGTACCTCGGTTTACGAATGCCTCGGTTAACGTAATTTTCGGTTTGCGAATGAAAATCCATTGGAAACAATGCCTCGGTTTATTAATTTTTTTTACAAATTTTTTTCGCAATACGAAGTGTGTGACCGCATGGGGCGTGGCCACTCTGAAGATGTCCCCAGGTGGCCCCACCCCTTACTTATTTAAGAACTGTCAAACCATCGGAGAAGGTAGATGACGGGAGCCAGGGCCGGGTGCGGAGCCTTTTTTTTTTTTATGGGGTCGTAGGGCATCGTTATTGATGTTGGATCTACTGTGGGGGACATTCTTTTAGATTTTTCTTTTAATAAAGGACTTGTCAAAGACCGTGTCCTGTCTTTTTTCACACTAAACTTTTAGTTTATTTGTGAATGAGTAGTGGGACCATGTACCCCATACTCATTCACATGGGGGGGGGCGGGATCTGGGGGCCCCCTTGTTAAATGGGGCTTCCAGATTCCGATAAGCCCCCTGCCCACAGACCCCCACAACCAGATCCCAGGGTTGTGGGGAAGAGGCCCTTGTCCCCATCAACATGGGGACAAGGTTCTTTGGGGGGGAGCCTCCCTGCCCCAAAGCACCCCCCCATGTTGAGGGCATGTGGCCTGGTATGGTTCAGGGGGGGGGGGGCGCTCGCTTGTTCCTCCTGACCTGCCAGGCTGCATGCTCGGATAAGGGTCTGGTATGGAATTTTTGGGGGGGACCCCCACACCATATTTTTTTAATTTTGGCATGAGAGTTCCCCTCAAAAAATCCATACCAAACCCGAAGGGCTTGGTATAGATGGTAGGGGGGTCCCACGCCGTTTTTTAAATAATTTTTTCAATTGCCAGCAATTCTTTTACATTCAGCTGTCAGTGGGGAACCCCACTGACAGCTGAAACATTAACACATGGTTGTCACTAAAATACTGCATTACTTAATAAAATAACTCAAGCGGCATTTTATTAGCATTTACTATTTTACTGACCTCCATAACGGATTAATTGGTTTTCAATTCATTCCTATGGGAAACAGTGTTTCAGTTTACGGACTTTTTCACTATACGAAAAGTCCTGCAGAACGAATTACATTCGGAAACCGAGGTATTACTGTACTGTAGATATTTAGCTGAGAGCTGCAGTGCTCAAATTATGACATAAAGACAACTACAAATCCACCAAGCACCATGTGCAATTGAACCTCTCAAGGGACCTACTCACATCTGGAAGCCCCATGACGAAATCATGAAGCTGAGCTTTTTTTGCTGCTTCCATCACTTGGTCCATGGAAATCTGTTTGGAATTATCTCCATACTTGATGTTTTCAGCAATACTACAGTCAAACAGCACTGGCTCTTGAGACACTATACCAATTTTAGAGCGGAGGAATGCAACATTGATGTTCTTACTAGTATGACCATCTATTAGCTGTGCAAACAGAAAAAAAAATATAACATTCATCAAGAGAATAGTAATAAACTGAGGAACAGACAGGATGTTCAAGGCACTTATTTTGGAAATAGCCCTTTCAATATGTTATTTAATGAGAAAACCACAGGCTATGACCAGTCATTGACTTGAAAATCTATATCAACTGATACATACTACACACATTTGGCAAGGGTCATCTAATGTAGCCTTTCTTAACCTGGGTATCTCAAGGTTGCTAGAGGTTCCTTGAACTGTTGCTGGTTGTTCTCCCCTCTGATAGTGTCTGCATTATTCTGGGTTCAACACCATTTGGCAATTTCAGCTGTATGACATCAATGATATTTTTAGCTGTCTGTAAGGGGACTATTCTTCCTACTGGCCACCAAGTTCATGGAAATTTTTCCCACTGACCCCTGATAAATTCATTTAGGTGGGGTGTGCTGAGACATAAGAGTTATTTCATGGCATGACTTAAAAATGTTGAGAAAGATTGATCTACTGTACTGGATGCAGCTGCCTAGCTTGATAGTAACTTTAAAGATATTTAGTGAGAAAAGCTGCCTAGGAACTTGCTATGAGCTCAGTACTCACAGAGGCTAAAATATGTGTTCATTCTATTAAAATAGATACTTATGATGGGCTATAGATGCATGTTTGTTGTTTCTATTTCCATCTATTTTCTACCTTCTCTGTTTCATTACTAGTTACTGTTCAATAGTGATTAAGGACCAGTAAAAAATTGTTAATATTGACATTGTTCTGGTCTAACGCTACCTAAAAAACTGTACTTCTACAGCAGCAAACACCTATTATGAAAAAAATGTGCTCCAACACAACATACACTGGATTATTTCCAGGGCCTAAAGCAGGAAAAATGTGGATGATTGTAGTTTAGATAAGTGATTATACATTTGTGGACTTTACATTATATTTTCATACTTTATTTGTGTCGAATACACTGTTTTGTGTATATATATATATATATATATATATATATATATAAATATAAATAATGAACCAATATTTTAAAGGCTTATCTAGAATGGGTGAGGGGTGAGAATGCTGTAATATTTATTAACTTATTTAGTGATTAAGAATCATTAAAAGGACATGTGCACATTCGAAATAGTAAACTCCACATGATCTCTCAGTCACCTGAGGAAATAACTTACAAATTAACATATTTCTAATGGCGCCAGAGTTTAGAGGTACACTACGCAACCTCAGGAATGTCAACCAGCGCTAGTTCATATTTTATTCCATAAGCTTTTGTACCTACTGAGACGAATGGGGGTGGGGTTGAGTTTTTCTAGTTAACACATTTGCTTGTCTTTCAAAGGTTAATCCATAAATTAAAGGATGTTGAAGAACTGCCAAGGTGTTATGAAACTGTGCTGAGGAAAAAGACCTGCAGTAGTTTTATAATAGTGGGAGGTTTGGTAAGGCTTTACATCCCAGGGTTGTTCTCCTCATTTTCCAGCCAGGTGAGCTAGACACAGGCCTAGTATATATAACATTGTTGGAAAGTATCTCTACATTGTCACTCTTTGCTACATCAGCCCCTGACTAAATGTATATATTCAACGTACCACTTTGCCATGGTCTGGATCATAAAACCTTTCAAGAAGTTGAACGCTGGTACTCTTGCCACAACCGCTGCTGCCCACAAAGGCCAGTGTTTGTCCAGGGTTGACTGAAACATTGAGGCCATTCAGTACCTGGATATCAGGACGGGTGGGATATGTAAACTTGCAGTCAATGAAGTCAATGCCGCCTTTGAAATTGTTCTGGAAATGGTTATAAACATTATTATTATTCACTTGCCAGAGATCGACATTGTACAGGTGTCAGAATTACAATTAGAGCATGGTCCATTAAAGCTGAACTCCATGAAAATGTTAAAACAGCACCAATTAAACATGGTATGTAGTCATTAAAAAATGAACTCTGAGTTTGTAAGGGGCAGCACTAGATGCCAATCAGCCTCTGGAAGCATTCACGTGATCTGACAGGAGGAGAGAGGAGAGTAATGACCTCATCAGGATGCTGCTGTTCCTTCACTGTCCAGGGAGAGGCAAAAAGAAAGGAAATGACCAAGCAGTATTGAGCAGTATTGTTTACCTGCTGTAGAAAATGGTTTTACTATGAAATGGATTAGAAATGGAAAGTATTTTTAAAATGCTTCTTACCCATTTCTCTCCATCAGTTCTGTATACAGAAATCTTTGGAACACGATCCACTAGTTTAAAAAATCGTGCAGCAGATATTTTGGCCTTGGCATAATCTGGAGTATATGAAGATGCCCTTCCCAAGGCAGTTCCACTGGTCACAACTGAAGATATCACCCTGGAATTAAACATATCATTTATTTGAAAGGACAACTTGATGAATTATATTGTACAAGACAGTCTTACATAACAGTGCAGCCAAATTCTACAGCAAATTAATCAAGATGGGATTTGAGACTGAGATTGCAGGTTTGAGTTTCACAATCCCAGTAAAGTTAAAAATAGATTCAACCAGAAGATTTTTTTATTTGAACCGTAATGCACTGCATAGCCTTGCAGCTATAATCAACAGGCTTAGAAAAGCCAATAAGAAGACTTTTGGTAAAGCAATCCTCCTCAATATAAAACGGGGGGATGTAGAGCTGCCATAGAGTCAGTGAATTGGAAGTAGTTATAGGGAAAACATACAGAAGGCTAAACAACTGCATATGAACTGCATAGGAGGAGATTAAGGTCAGTCCATAGCAATTTTTTTTCTTTGCTGCAAAGCCTCTCTTTAAAAAAAATGGGCTTTTATTTCAGGGGGTGGTATTTTGAGGTTTTCATTTCTTTTGTGCTTTGTTTTCTTTTAATTTTATGTTGATAGGGCCTTTTTAAGTCTGAGATGCTCAACGTGTTCCTTTTAACTAGTTCGGCTCCAGAGCAATTGTTTTTATTTTTTGCATACATGTAAAAATCGTACTTTTTGGCAATACAGTTACTTACACCTCCAGAACATTATATATTTTCTGAAAGCAGAGGCCCGTAGAATAAAAAAGTGACAGTTGCAAAATTTTATATCTCATGATATTTGTGCAAAAGTTTTTTAAACACACATTTTCAGGAAAAAAAAAAATATAATATAATGAATGTTAGTGCAAAAAACACACAATATAACACCAATTTTTGGTTAAAATATAAAAGATGAGGATGCATTGAGTATATAGATACCAAACATTCTTTCACTCTGTGAAAGTGATCAGCAGCTATATCACTCACATTCACGGCACCCTCTGTCCCCATAGATTAAATAAAGATATATCAGTTAGGACTATTATCTCCAATTACGGGTAAACAGTCCTGTTGCTGGATAGTTTTACACTGCTGTATCATTTGCAGTATTTCAGTTTTTGTGGCAAAGCCCCAGCCTCTGCTCTTTGCCTCTAGTAAATTTGGGCCTAACCTTGCTCATTCAAATTGTCCTGCTGCTGGACAATTTTACTGTATCATCTGCAATCTCTTAATTCTTCTAGTAAAACACCTGCCTTTGACTCTAGTTCATTTTGGCCTATAATACCGGGTTAAAGCTGTACTGCTGCTGGCCAATTTTATGCTACTGTATCATTGATAGCCTCTTAATTCTTATAGTAAAACACCTGCCTGTATTTTTTTTTTTTTCTTGTACATTTTGGCAAATTCTCTCTCCAATATTTTTTTTTTTTTTTATTTTTTTGCAGTGGTAGTGTTCCACTTCCCATACTATTTGACAGTAGTTTGCCTATTAACTCTAAAAATGTCCAGAGTTTAACAATAGGATTCACCTCCTATAGACTTTAATAGGATTAAGGGCAGGCTTGCTGAATTTTGAGTAAGAATCCCTGAAACCTAGGTGAATAGAATCTAGGCAGATTTGCTCATCATTATTTGCGAGTACAACAATTAAAGTATTTCTTTTACTTTATTTTAATAACTGTGGTACCTTAGATCTGTGTGCTGGGTTTAGTGTTTTAACCAATAGTAGATGACATTCTAAAACACCTGCAGATAATGGAGCATGGGTTGAGTTGCAAGCATGTAAAGGAGCTCATATGTCAGTGCTTTGGTGCTCTGAAAAGACAAAGGTCTTCTTGTTTTGTTAAGGGGATTATCTGTTTTTCACTCTAAACTGCAATTTCAGTTGATTCTGTGAGATTTCTGCCCTTGGTTTCCCAGATCTCCACTGGTGCCACAGCAATACAGTAGCCTACTCTCTGTGCAGGGGCACTGTTGCATCTTTAGAACACTCAGCATGTTTAAATGAATTAAGTACCTGAACACAAAACTGTAATGGAGATTTTCTGCCTCTACCAGATATCCTCCATATCTGTAAGACACTGAATTTGCAATAAAAACGATACACTGAGCAAAGCCAAAGCACAGTCCATAAACATTGGCTTTTTTGATTGCTGCTCTGTAGGGGGCTTCTAGCTGTTCCTCATACATTTCAATAAACTGCTTCTCTTTTGCAATTCCAGCAATGGTTCTGATATTCCCAAGAGCCTCGCTGGAAATCTGAGGAAACAGAATTAAACTGATAATATTAACCTTTAAGCTGCTTTTAAAAATAGTTAAAATACGACCTAATGGCTTGTTATGAAACATGTGGAACAACAACAGGGTGTTAGTCCTATACAGTACCTTCTAAATTCAACTTTTCACACCTTCACATGCATAGTGGTGGCATCACCATAGCAGATATAAATATACAAATGTAGTATAAGGAATTGTTGCCATGGACGACAGTGCCCGTATAGCATGAACAGGCATTTTTTCCTGCATCCCAACTTCGGAGAGTGGCCCTGAATGCACACTTTCCTGCACCTGCATGCCTGTCACAATTGGACCAGTGGCCGTGTCCTTGCAACTGCTGCATTCTAATAGACTTCAATGGGTTTTCTGCACACAATTACTGGAAGCTGCGATGCGTGAATAAAAGTCCCATTTATGCTATACAGGCACTATTGCATGTGTTAACGAGGCCTGTATATTGAGCTGTGTAGTAGTGTAGTGGTTGTCTTTCTTTACTGCTTTTAGCTTCTTGTGTCGACGGGCTTGGGGCTTGCATTGCTGGCCTCAGTTTAAAATCAGTTTGAAACTCTTCTGAGGTCATTAATTAATTAACTTGTAGCTGACCATCTTCAGACCTACATTTGACCTGCTTCAAGTTGGTTTTGCATTCTCCTACAGGAACCCACTGAGGAATTTAATGTTTGCAAGGACCTCCTCTAGATGCCCCTGTTTTTTAAATTTAAATGGACAGGTTAAAAGTATAAAGGTCTGCGCTGATGGGCAGATCAAATGCAGTGTGTGTGATGGGAGTCACTTTGGGTGGGGGGTCCATGGAACAGAGCCCCCTTTGGAGAGGTGGGGAGACCCCTGTCTCAGCTCCTCATATCTCTATTATGTGTAAGTCACCCTGTGCCTGTTAGGGGTACAGGGTGAAATGTCCTGATATTGTGTAGACATGTATAGGTTGGGTGCGGGAGTTGTTCATTGTTTACTACCATGTGGTCCCATTGTTCTATTGTGTGTCTTGCTTGGGAACAATTATTATGGGATGTGTTTATGTGTATTGGCTTGGTGGGAGGTGTCTATTGATGTCTCTTGTTACTAAATGTATTGCCCCGCCCTGTGTATATATATTGTGTCTGTGTTAAAATAAAGCAGTCCATTTCCTGTTTTAATACAAGCCTGGTGCTGTCTTGTCTTGTATGGTCAGCGGTGGTGTCCGTGGATCTGTGTTCGGACAGGGAAGAGGGAGTCTAATGAAAATACCCTAGTGTAGTTGGGGTCTGGTTCCGTTACACAGTGGTTAATGAAATCTGAATGATCTCAGAAGCATCTCATGCTGATCAGCAGACTTGGGCCTTGTGTCGATGGCCCAAGTTTGACGACACAGGTCCTGACTCAAATTAACATGAGTATATGTATCTGTATGTATGATTGTGATTGGGGCAATCAATTGTAAGCTTCTTTTCTGGATAGACATTAATGTGAGTGTGCTTTGTTCCTTTATAAATGTATGCAATGTATTGACACTTCTGTTGGTTTAATGAGAAATAATGCAAACATCAATTAAAGAATTCTGCTTTCTTTTGAACTGTAATATCTATCACTATTTCTTGCTACACAGTGAGAAACAAGCAATAGAGTACCATCCACTTTATGCCCACAGGGTGGTCAGAGTTGAAAGACTAGGATTTACTGTTGAGAGGTCTATGATTACACTGGAAAAAGGATTATGAAAATGCATACACAGATGAGAGCCATGATGAGATTTTCACTTTCATCCTCAAGTAAAGTACTCTGACTGATGATTGTGTAAGATAGGCCTGCAACATCATAAAATTGACCTCCAGGCAGGTATTAAAGAAGCACTGTAAGCATTATTAAATCACTAAATTTGTTTTTTAATATATGCAGTGTAAGTACCTGGGATTAACTGGGCATCAGCCTTTTGCGGTATATGTACTAAAGAGTTCAGACTGGTGCAGGAAAGAGCAGTACAAGATGCAATGAAGTCATTAGTATTCTATGTCGCCTTTCATTGTCCATTCAAACAGTGAGCGCGTGAGGAGAAGACCTGTAGCTACACATTCACACTTTTATTTTAGTTAAATGCAGAGGAAATG